CCCAGCCTAGGCCTGCAGGATCGTCGAGTTTTACAGCCTTTTTTTTTTTCTTTTTTTCTCTCGTCGTTCCCTAGGAGAGCCAATCCCAAAATTACGTTCTTCTTTTTGTCCTCTCTCGCTCCCTCAACTCGTCCTTTTTACACGCGTTATTACATTCCGGCTATAAGCCATACACATATAAACACCATCGCTGCAGTCGATTGCACTTTTATACCTCCAGTCCTTTTTTTTTTTCTGGTACACCCAAGCAGGTATATGGCCCGCACGAGCCAAGCTATACACACACAACAGCTAATCGATCAATCGATCTACAAACAGATCGAGGGGCTCTATCTAAATCCAATATCTCCGGGTCTCCCCTTGCCCCCCTAATCTCTGACTGGCCAAGTCGTAGAGTCGATCTCTTATCGGTCGACGCGATCTTTCTTTGTGTTTTCCTCCTCCTCCTCCTCCTCCTCCTCTTCTTTTATTCTCCGTTTGCTTGTCTTCTTCTTCTTCTCAGGGTTGTTCAGACACGAGGCTTACGGCTCGCGTTCGCCGAAGAGAGGATGAAAACAGAGGGAAGATTTTGACAAACGGATCATCATCTTTGGGACGATGATTGGGGGAAAAACCTTTTTAAATCGCACCTTTTGAGCCAACGATATTTTAATAGGAATACCGGGAATTGGGAGCGGTTATGGCTAATTATATATATACGTATGCTCTCGTGACGTTTGCATGGTTTTTTTTTTTTTTTTTTTTTTTCTTTCCTTTTTGTTTACCAACACACAAACAAACGTCCAACCGAGTGAAACACTAGACATGGTACTTGTCACAACTGTGTGTATATATACAGGCATCGTGCGGAATTTTAATTTGATAGCCAAGGTATTACGAGAAAATTATCCACTCGAAAAAGTCGGGACAAAGAAGAACGGGAGGCGAGGGGTGGCGTTACGAGGGTCGCGGTTTTCGAAAACGAAACAAAAAGAAAAAAAAGAAAAAAAAGCAAACGTCCCCTCCTCCCTCTCGAAGTGCATCCACAACACATCGGGATGGACCGGTAAGAGCAGCAGCATTAGTGCGCACAAGCACAAGGGTATATATACATAGGGAGAAAGTGCAGGGACGAGGGGTGAAATTTCGCCCATAAGGTCGACGTATAGCGAGACTAGCCAGAACTGTTTGTCAGTGTGTATATATATACACGCAAGCATTGGGTGTTGGGGGATGGCACTGGTATCCTTACCTCTCTCTCTCTTTCTACACTGTATGAGTATACACTCGGTGCCAAGCCCCGTGCACAATAGACGCGAAAAATCATCCATTATCCTAGCCTCCTCGTTGCTGCTGCTGTTACTTTACGCGTTGTATATATAGCCTATGTTTGTACGTGTGTGTAAAAGAGAGAGAGAGAGAGAGAGAGAAGAGACGCTTCGAAGGCTGCCTGACAATGGCGAGTACGCCCATATATCACTCCGGGGCCGAGGGCTTTTCTCCCAAAAAGAAGACTACGACGACGAAGAGCCGCACGCGCAGGAGCACGTATATACGGCCGGTGGTGTATACCGAGAACATCAGCAAAACGGGGCCCCCCGAGCTAACCATTTTCCAACTAGATCCTCGTTTCGCCGCAGATAGATCCCAGCCCCATTATGCCCCTCGGGACTTTCGAAAGGTCCCCACCTCCCCGTTTATTGCATCCCTTTGGTCCTTCTCTTCACGGCACTTCCCCCCACCCCACATCTTAGCTTTTCCTTTTTTTTTTTTCTCTCTCTCTCGCTCAAGGGCCTCTCTTGTTTCTCCCCCTCGTCCGAGATTTCCTCCCGTTATGCGTGTGTATGCTTGCGCGTCAAGTTTTTCCTCCGTCAAAGTTTCGCGCCTTCCTTTATACCTCCTCCCTCCACCCTGGCAATAGGTACCTGTATAGCGGGGGAGGAAGAAGTTTTTCGGGGGGGGGGGACCCGCAGATGTTTTGGGTCCATTGTTGCGTCACGAGGCCCCGGGACTGATTAATCGTCCGGTTCCGCGTAAATTTTTCCGAGCCTCTTTACCGGGAACGCCGTAAAATTTTCGCTCGGGCTCGTAAATTAACAGCTCGTTCTCGTCCCCTTGGATTCGCACGGGGAGTGATTAATCGTGCGCACTCACCCTTTTCCAGAAAAAAAAAAAAAAAGGAGAGAATATGAAGCGTGGAAAACCGACGAACCTCACCTATACCTGCGGTACGTGCGACCCTTCGACGATAAGAAGCGTGGTGAGATCAAAGCATCGTATACAAAGGACTTTGGGTCCTCGGAAAGAGAAAAAAAAAACACTTTTATAGAGCTGACATCCTCGAGTGAATTTTCATCAGTACAGAGTTGGAGCTGAGCTTCGGGGTACGAAAATTACCTTTGAGTGATTTTTAGATGAAACGCAAGATGTATCGACAAAATGAGAGGACAAGTGGTCGTATATAGTATTAGACGAACACGAAGAGATGCTTTGGGAAAGTTGACGGAGGAAAGACCAATACGTTGGAAAAATGACAAAGTGCGAAGAGATGAGATACCTTTGAGCACAAACACGGACACATATTCTGCATCATCCGCAAAATATATCAGTTACTCTCTCGATGCACCGCGCAGCAAGACTCATCCGCCATTTATTCGTGCCCCATCGCAGCGAACGGAAGCATCAGAATCTCCTTTCTTCGTCTCCACGTGCGTGGTGGGGACGTATTTCTCTCAAAGTTATTAATCGTCCTCGTGCGCTCTTTTTTTTCATTCACTGCACCGGGTTTAACATATATATATATATATTGTACGCGGCACGCGCGTGCATTGTGCGTCTCTGTTTACCCACACTTTTCGTACCAGCGCTTCTATTTTTTTATTTTTTTTTTATTCGCGCTTACGGTAGTGCATTTGTGAGTGTGAACGCGAGATTGATTTATCTTCTTGCCGAGGAGCGAGGAAGAGAGGGATCGGGTACGGGGTGGCGACACCCCAGCGCTTCGGTTGTGTGACTTTTTCCTTCGAGCGCAAATGAATGGTTAATTGATTGGGTCCACTTTCTCTCCCTTTCTGCGATTCGGTTTCCTTTGTGATCGCGTGTATGGGTGCAAGGGTGACACTTCGAGAGTGTGCACTAAACAAGCTGCGAATGTGTATGGCTTTCACGCTTTTTCGAGCCCATCAAAATATTTTTCCCGGCCTCCTTCTCCACCGAGGGCTCGATTGTAGTGGTTTGGATTTTCTTGGGTCGAGCGGTTAATTTACCGCAGTGTTTTTTCTTTTCTTTTGTTTCATACACGCACGTTACAATACATTTTTGAGTATATACATTAAAACAATTCTTTTTTTTTAAATGGTCAACAAAGTGTCAGGGAGTGTCTCAGGAAACGATTTTTCATCGCATATACCTTCAGTTTAAAAAAAAAAACCACATGATAAAACGTGCAAACTCGACGCAAATGCGCTAAATTACGATAAAATCCTTCGAAATGAAGGCGGGATCGTTAAAACGCGGGCGACAGTTTAAAGAGCCGGACGAGTGCGCGAGTAAGGAATCAATGGCTCGTGAGAGAAGGGCATAACTTCATGAATATTAAAAAAAAAAAAAAAAAAAAAACCACTGTGTACGGAACAATGACGTGTTCGCCAACACCACGCGAGGTCCTTTGTCCCTCTAACGAGAGTCCTGTCGCGTTATCGCGCGTGACTCCAATGTCGCACGAGTCGTTTTCGATCCCATCGGCGAAATTAATTGCACTACGAGGGTAAAGTGTGTATGCACAAACGTGGGCAGAGGATAAAGTCGCGCACCTTGTGGTCTCGCGAAAAACAAAGGGGAAGTCTTTTGTTCGGGGAGTTCATCCGTAGGTACTACGACCACCCCAATACAACTAGCGAGTGAGCCCACCACTGTTTTTTTTTTTTTTTTTTTTTCAATTGACAATAATAATATGATTCAACGCTGTGATTGGCAAAAAGATATATATTTTAGAAGTACGTGTTAGCGAAACACTTCATTTCTCAAAAGTTCTTTTCAGGATAATCTTCTACGACCGTATACGTGGTGTATATCCTTAATTTTAATCTTCTCGTACCCGAGGACACACGGTCGATTGGTTGTTGGTGTAGTTTTAAGAGTATAGGAAAAATGGAGATCTCTGTCAAAAAAAACACTTGAAAATTAAAAAAGCCCCCTTCTGCGCCTAAAACCTGCATCCCTATGAGAAAAAAAAAAAAAACGGCACAGCAGAGGGTCTCCTTGAAACGCAGCCATTTTCGCCTCGAAAAAAAGAAGGAACTCGCTTCCGCTTCTCCCCGGCGTCTTTCCTTTCCTCCCGGAACTCGAAAAAGAAGTGTAAGCCGAGGGAGTGACACCCGAAGAAAAAAGAGAGACGGCCGAGCGTGCGCCAGGACTCTCTCTCTTGAGATCGCGCTCCGCCGCCCGGCTTCCGATGGAAATAAATAAAGCGCTTTCTCCGTCCTTCGCGCGCCACGCGAGGACTCTCGGATCCGGAGGGTGTCTTCACCCCTACCCCCTTACGAGGCTCTCGGCCAAAAAAAAAAAAAAACTTATGCGTCTGCTGTGCGTCAAGTATAGGCGGGGGTGGGCGCGAAAAGTCGAGCAACCATCGCTGGCTGCGCTTTTTTTTTCGAGATGGACCATTGTTTGAGAGAGTCGCTCTGGAATCGCGAGCCGGTCGCTTTTTACTTGTACAGGCAGACGATAATCCTCGTGGGAATTTTAGTAAACCAATTGATGATTTTTCACACTTGCAATAATTTGTATACATTCATTTCATTAGACCGCAGAATTTTTTTAGTCATTTCGGAATGACTTGGGCGCACTTTGGTCAAAAGACGTATACCTTTAGATTAAAATGAAATAATCGTCCCAAAATAATGTGAGGATAAAACTTAAAATGGTAAGCCAAACTCGATGAGAAAAACCAAGGGTATAGCCGACGATTGTTATTCTGATGGGACAAATTAATCAACGTCGCTTCGCAATTGTGATTTCAGGTGAAAAGCCGTTCAAGTGCGAGACGCCGGGCTGCGACAGGCGCTTCGCCAACAGCAGCGATCGCAAGAAGCACAGCCACGTCCACACGTCGGACAAGCCGTACAATTGCCGGGTCAACGGCTGCGACAAGTCGTACACCCATCCGAGCTCGCTCCGCAAACACATGAAGGTAATCATACACTCTGTAAATACATTTGAATATGTACAAAAAGGGGAATAAGTATAATCGGCATATATAGAGAGGGGTTTACACCACCCGAGAACACCTCCGTGGAATCTTAATGAGAAATCGTACTTAAATAAAAATATCCTTAGCTGTATGAGGTTCACGGTAACCCGTGCAGTGAGTAAACGTCAAAATTTCCTTACCTCACGGGCACCCCGATTCTGCAGCCGCTCCCTTCGTCCCTTTTCCTCTTTTTGTTACTCGTACAACACCGAGAAATATGAATTACTGCCCTCTCTCTATCGGTCGGGCGAGTTTAGGTTTCCATCCCCCCCCCCTACTTTTTTCCTGTCTCTCTTGCTCGAGAGAGTTATTGCTTCGGAGCTGAGGAGCGTGATTGTGCGATTATTAATTCGTTGTGTTCGGCTCGTGCGCGCGTGGATATGGGCCCTGGTTACTATACGCGCAAGTGCGGTCTTTCCTCATCATATATACGAGCACGCGTGGATCTGAGATTTATGCCGGACTCGTAATTTTTTACACGAGAGCTTTGACAATTTTCCACACTTTTACGTGGTAGTGATTTTCGCACTGCAGAGTTGAGTAAAAAATTAATTTAGCGTTGCGAGAGCTGAAGAAACAAATTAATGCATCAACTTGCTTTATCGACCATTTTGATGATTTATTACGAAAAAAAAAAAAAAAATTGCAGAATATAGTACGAAACAATCGCAGATTTCAATATTTTAAAAATAACATTTGGAAATTACAATGAATCATTTCTAAAACCTGTTGGGTTTTTCGGAAACGGAGGCGTGGCTATCTCGGTCATATTTCCACGTTGTGCTTTTACTGGTTGCAAGAATCAATATTACAGTCGATGAATGATTTATGAGCGACCACAGTTCGATACAATTGAATGATAACTTATATGCGTTTTTATTCAACGTCTTTTGCACTTTGTTTCTCACACAGCAGTACGAAAAAAAAGTTTGACTAACTCTACTGAACCAAATTGATTTAATAACCACATGCACTTCTCTTAAAGGTAGAAACCTATACGATTGATAATACAAGCTTCTACTGTGCAAAAAAAAGTGCAAGTCATAATATGTTTGAGCCAAACAATCCTATAATTTGAACTCTTGTAACTTTATTTCTGAATACATTCATCCTCATACTATCCCCTGGAAACTTGAAAATCTTAAAATTAAGCCTCTTAAAAGCCAACCTTAATACTGGTTTTTTGAGCCCTCGTACCGCACAAACATCAGTTTTTCTAGGCACGTTACATTAGCTTCCTGGTATACCATTACCATAAATTTTCTTCTAAAAGCTGGAAACCCCTCCGACTCGTTTAGTGTAAGTTTCAAAAATTCAACTAAACCATATAAACTACAAATTTGCAAAACAACCTCCTCCTTTTTATTGCAACATTTTAAAATTTGCCTCTAGAATTTGCAGAACCTAAGAAGTACCCTCATAATTCTAATAATCGTGAGATTTCTATCAATTATAAAGATCGTTTGAATAATTAGCAGATTCCAACGCCTTTACAGTTCCTCTTAGGAATTAAAAATCTTAGAAACAACGAATGGAAGCTAAAAACTAATAGAGTTGACCCTATGGGGTCCTTAGGTTTATGTCTGAGAGCCATAAACGATCAATTGTACCTCTATAAAAATATGAAAACATCAATCTTTGAGACTCGGCTTTGTCGGGTTTTTACTTTGCTAGGGTTGCTATAATACAATGAAAAGTTGTACTACGGGGTTTGACAAACTTGATTAACATGACCCAAAATGATCATGTCTCCCAAATCCTTAATCTAACCATAGGTACAGATCCCAAATTCTCGTACCATCCTTATAGTAAAAAAACGATCTATTAACGACGACGGTACTTATCGTGTACTTTCAGGTGCACGGCATGGCCATGAGCGACGGGGGCAAACTAAGCGGCGGCTACGACAGCGAGGGCGAGGAGAGCAGCAGCAGCGGGGGCAGTCTCTCGGTGACAGGCCACACGGACTCGCCCCAGCCCTCGCAACCAGTGACCTCGTCGACCTCCACGACCCCTCTGTCCAACGGTCCAGCCTCCAACGGCTCGAACCCCAACAACAACAACAACAGCAGCAACAACAGCAACCTGGTCACGCAAATGTCGCAGCAGCAGCACCACCAGCAGCAACACCAGCAACAACAGCAGCAGCATCCACAGCAGCACCACCACCTGAGCGATTGGTACGTTTGCCAGCCGACAGCCGCGATGGCGCCCCAGCACAGTCCGCTGTCCCATCACACGGCCCCGCCGCCCGGCCACCACATCGGCCATCACTTCAGCACGCTAATGCACCATCAGGCCACCGCCTACTGAACGGCCGACACCGCACTCCGTCCCGTTCACGGCGACCCCTGATTCATACATAAATATATTATGTTCACGAGCGTTACAAGGAACACTATACCTCTCTTGCATAGTGCTTTCGTACCAAAGCTGACATGACAGAAATAACGAGATGAGCGCTTCGTTCTTTGGGACGTGACGCTAATGTTATCGTTATCGTTGTTGTTTTTATTGTTGTTATTGTTGTTGTTGTTGTTGTTTTTCTTCTTCCTCTTCTTCTTGTTATTACGCGTAATACCCATGAGACTGCTCTAAATATACCTTGTAAAACTACCCTACTGATATAATGTTCAAGCGGAACGCGAGATGGGAGGTCGCGTCTTATTCCGACCGACATTGTGCAAGATTTTTTTTTCTTTTCTTTAATTTTATATTGATTTTTAGTTTGACATACCAAAAAAAATTGTACATATATATATGCGTATAGGTGCATAGGGGATGTATGGGAAGCTCGCGTACACTGTGTTGCGGAAGGGTGCGTTTTTTAAGGAATTCGCTTCGAGTCTTTCAACGATGTAAATTCATGCGCTAGATTGGCTAACTACGTCGACGCTTTTTATTCATAAACTCGCTCGTTTTGGCGAAAGGAAAATTTCGTTGCGTTTAAATTAGTGTGTTGCACGTGCAGGCTTGGGCACGCTTTTTTTTTAATACATTTTCAAACACTTTTAAGCAAACAATTTATCTCTGGAACTATAGTAATTTTTTTTCCACTACTTTTTGCATAACGATAACAATACCCAACAAAAATTTTGACAAGAAAAAAAAGTGCAATATATTTTAGCAGTTAAATTTTATTATAAACTATTTCAATACTATTTTTCTTCTACATTTTTCAAGTTCAACTCTGTATTAGAAAAAAGAAAAAAAAATTTCTCAGTACAAAAAATTAATAGCATATTTAGGAAACAAATCCACACCCAAGTCTGCATATGTACTTAGATCTTTTTGGTTTGATCTAAAAAAAAAAAAAAAAAAAATTCGACTACCGTTCCTAAATCGACTAATGAGCAAAGAACAAAAGTACGTGCAAGTAACTACTACAGTCGTTCTAGTAATCACGGAAACGCGATTAAAATGTATGGTATGATGTACGTAAGTAATTATAATTCGAAAATACTCGTCACACGCACGTGCCTCGTCTCTAACTTAAAAATATAATGTATACATACGTATTACTATGAACGAAAAGTCTTTCGAGTGACGATAGTTGTATAAACACACACATGAATTCACACGAGCAAGGGGGTAATTGGAATTTTCAATTCACCATCGCTTTATTTATTACTTCATTTCCCGCCATATCTTCTGTTGTTTCAGCACTGAATTAAATTTGCGCGCTAAGATTGTCCAAAAAAAGCGAACTATACTGTGTGAGTCTCTCGATTACAATGCGCTCGTGAGAGAAGAGTTGCGGCACTATATATTTTTAGACGAAATCTTGTGTTCTGCTTTAGGAGGGACAGGGAGGGAGTGAATTACAAAAGCTTACTCGTGCTGCGAATGTTTTCCGATTACTTTCTAGTATTTGTTTCCATTGGGTGTTAACTGATGAAAACCCTCCGAGCTCTCCATGGTTCGGCTCGCAAGAGCGTCATGTGCTTTCGAAGGAATTTCGATGCCGATGGTGTGATTGTTTGGGTCGTTTATCGTTGAAAATAAAATATATTTGCTGAATCGAAAAAAAAACATCGAGTTGCTTTTCCTTTAGTGGGATTTTAAACTACCACCGAATCTTTTTTTTATTTTTAGGAGTTTGTGGTAAGCTTGATTTTTTTCACATCGATTATATAATTTGGTTGTTTTTATTGTATTAAAGGTTCAAGGAGAAATGAAATTAATTTTTTTTTTTCTATCATAGACAATCCTTAAAAAATTTGCTTATTAAAGTAAACTAATAGACTCGATAAAATATGTTGAAAAAATTACCAAATTATATTGAATACATTGAACTGAAAAAATGTCAAGCTTACTTTGGTGAAAAAAAAAAAAAAAAAAAAAAAATGAAATATTCAGCAAATTTATTGATGTAAGCACTCTGAATACAAAAAATGAGAAGTTTTTTTTAATTCTTTAGATCGACACTTACTACTTATTTCAAATTCGTCCGCGACATCGTTTATACAACTGTACTGTGTAAGTAATCAAATATCTGATTATGAAATTTCAAATGTGTTAGCAGGTCACGCAAAAATAATATATTAACCAACAAAATTATTGCACTAATCAAAAACTTAAAATACCAGAACTTACAACAAAGTTAATAAAAAAAAAACTTTCATTAACATAAATTAAAGTTAAATATGTTATAATGTATTATGAAACTGATTAGTAAAGCGAAACAAATGTTTTCGGAAACGTCACTTGATTATAATATTTCATGTCCATGACTTAATTTTTCATTTGAAATATCATGATCCGGCCTTGAAATAACACTTTTGTAAATGCATCTCGCGTCGTGTACGATACCGCAAAAAATCCTGTATCATATTAACCAATTGTAAAAAAAAAAAAGTATATTTTCTCGACAATGTGAAATTTGTAAATAAAGCTGCGGTTGGTGAGCAAAAATAAATTATAATCGCCAATCCACGAAGCGCGAAACGAGCACTAGCAAGCAACAACTCATGTATAAAACAAGTCTTGCACGTGGAACGAACAAAACAAAAAAAAATAAAGATGAAACGACGAGCGAACTATGTACCATGTCATCGACTATGTATAATGTTTTTGCGACTATGACTGTGTGATAATAAGTGTAAATATTAGCAATGGTTTAAGAGCAAAATAAAGAAGACGAAGAGAAAATGTAAATCGAGCGCCTATTATGGTACTGTCACGTGAGCGACGACCTATCTTGTAGTTATTATCGCTATCTCTTTGATCCTCGAATCGAGTCTGCGCTTTAAATGCTGAAGAATCATAATTTTCGAAACGAAAAAACATATGTATACTATGATACGTGCATGTCACCGATGCCTTACGTTGTATTATTAAAAAATAATAATAAAAAAAGGGAAAAAAAAAATTTAACGCAACGCAAAAGCTCAATGTTCCAAACGAAAAATCATGTCTTTACAAGAGCCTAAACCCACGCGCGCGCATACACATACTACACATAAATACAAGAGCCAGAATCGACTCGAATAAAGATTTTATCAAAAATATCATTATAGTTTTGTCTTTTACATCTGTGCGCCCATCCCGAAAAAATCTCCCGATTAAGCGTCCACCAAATCGAAACGAGAAGAAGCAAGAGAGATGAAGAGAGTTAAAAAGGAAAAAAAAAAGAACGTGGAATAGCGTCGCTCTCGACTCTATTTTATTCTCGCTTCGAAATTTATGAACGAGCGAGATAATAAAGTGCGCCCTGGCATTCGGCGCCTCGGCATTTGCTTCGCTCCTCTCTCTCATTTTTTATTTTATTATTTTCTCCTCTTTTTTATATCACTCCTTTCTTTTCGGGGGTGGTTGTGCCGTACATATAACTTTTGCTTGCACACGCGCATACGTGTGTATGACGAAGTCGCACGGTCCTCTCTTTCTCTCTCTCTCTCTCTTTTTTTTTTTTTTTCATTTTTCGTCGACGCGAGCGTGAGATTGCGCGCCGAACGTCGCGAGGGTGATAAATAATAAAAGAAAAGGCCGAACGATTCCGATGAGAATCATAAGGACTGCGAGCGCGTGATTTTTCTTGTTTTTTTTTTTTCCCCTCCCAATGCACCGTGTGATTCTTTTGTTACACTGTAACTCTCGAGTGCTTTTGGTATTTTATTGCGTGATTAATTTGATGTAGCAACGTGATAATGAAAATTTGTGAATGGTACAATCAACATTTTTTTTTTTTTTTTCGTCAAGATGTATTTTATCAACGTAGTGAGCACGAAATTGAAAATAAAATCATTTTATCATAACGCAATTCTAAAACGGTCCTTTTTCGAAATGAATAAACTTGTCATTTATTAATGCAATACAACAGGTGAAAAAATTAATTAAAATAAAAAGCGATGAGTATGATCTGTAAATATTAAAATTCACCAATTACATCGGGACACATGGATGTAATAAAAAATTTCAATCCATGCAAGCACGAGCCACGTTATGATATATGAAAACACAGTTTTCCGACCACAATCATGCCCCATTACGGCAAACTCGTGCTCATCATTAAAAATTCCACATCTCTTCCATATGGTTATCGGGAGTCAATTAAAAATATGACTTTTCTGATTTTGGCTAAGAATTTTCACGGTTTTCAAACTCTTTATTGAATTAAACTTATGTACTTCCTTAATCTTTCATATAGATCGATAGTTAAAATCTCTCGGTGAGTAATAAATTATAATAAACCAAGTCGCGACTAGACGTGAATCATAAAAAAAAAAAAAAAAAAAAAAAAAAAAAAAAAAAAAAAAAAAAAAAAAAAAAAAAAAAA